AGAGAGAGAGAGAGAGAGAGAGAGAGAGAGAGAGAGTTCTTCTTCTTCCTCTTCTAAGTCCACCATCTCCTCCTCCCCCTCTCGCTACCTGACTTCTCAGTATCTGCAGACTACGAGAGAGAGAGAGAGATTGGTGACTTTGGGACTCGACGACATTTGGGTCCAGACTCAACATTGGGATTCAGACATTGACGAGGGATTATTTGGGACCTGTACCAAAGACTTGGTGTTGACGACATTCCCATCTTCCCCTCTTCTTCGTCTAACCCCCCTCTTCTTCGTCTGTGTATGGTTGGGGACTGGCGCATTCTTCCTGTGTGAGCGCCAGGCCCCTTCACACCATGGAATGATGATGATGTATGTCTGGTCTGTATGGCAACATTGATTGTTTGGATCATTGGTATTTAAGCCTTCCACTGTGCTATCTTGTACTATGTGAGAGAGGTCGGTTCTTGTTCTGGTCTGTACCATTACGGTATGCGACAGAGAGAGAAGCATATCGGAAGGGGGAAGAGTCGGGTGCTTACCGGAGTTGTGTTGCAGCGGTTCTGCGCTTAGTCCCAAACTTTTTCAATTCTATATTCTGTAGTTTGAGTGGAACTGGAATTGGCACTGTTCATGGCCATCACTCAAGCTTGTGTGAGCTTTATCTGAATGCTCTCAATTTGCATGTGGTATTTTGCGTTGAATCTTGCGAGGTTCATTGCATCGTGGCGAAGTTAGTGTGAATGAGTTTGTGTGGATAAGTTTGAGGACAGGTTTGAGGACAAGTTTGAGGACAAGTTTGAGGACAAGTTTGTGAGTAAGTCTGTGGATAAGTTTGTCTGAATGAGTTTGTGCGGTTAAGTTTGTGCGAATGGGTTTGTGTGGATAAGTTTCTGTGAAAAGTTTGTACTTGTGGATATATCTATGGCAAGGTGCAGAGAGCACAGACTAAGCAGGAGTGGGACAAAGGAGAAAGGGTATGACTAGTTGAGCAGACGAGCTTTGGCAAAGGTTCTCAAGCTGTGCAGATGTGCAGCAGGTGTGTGTGGGTAATTTTGTGGATAAGTTTGTGGATAATTTTGTGAATGAGTTGGTTGACAGGGTTCCTGAGAAGTCTCCTCTTTAAGATAGCTGAAGCTGCCTAAACTTTAGAAAATTTCCAAAAGTGGTGTCCTCGTAGGATGGCACGACATGTCTCCTGTGGAGACATGAGGTAAGATGCAAATGTGTCAGCAATCTGAGCGCATGGGTGACTCAGTGGTGATTGACCGGATAAACAGAGCTGATGACAAACTCAAGGTTGATTGAACTTATGATTCACAGTTGATGTGGATGGGGATGACCTGACAATTCTTGAAGAGTAAATGTCGGATAGATGATAGTTACAAAAAAACAAATTAAAGAATAAGAAAATAAGAAAATATGTAATATATTGTCAAACAGGGCTGCCTGGTAAACTGTAGGCAGAGAGGGAGAAGAGGACAACAAACGAGGGGCTGTGTGACCGACTGATGTACTGTTGTTATAGTATAATAATAAGTTAATAACTCTATTATAGAATTTATAGTGTGATTTGTGTGTAAATAGTAGGTAGTAATACAGTAATACTATTATCTATTACAATGTATAGAGAACGAAAAAGGAGCAGTGACGGAATGTGCCAACTTCTTATATTTGAATATCCTGTTGTGCTATTGTGGAAATTCAAACTTGTCAATGTCACAGACTATTTGGCAGATGCGATGGACCTGGCCATGTCCGAGCTGTGAGGGGATTAATACCCACACATTCAAGCGATGCTGAGTTTGACACTGCCGTAAATACGCTCTGCTAATCCATTTGCGGATGCACAGAGCCTGGCCATGTTCGACCTGGCATATCATCGAGGTTCAAAGTTCACAGTTCGAATGCTTACTTGATGAAGAGAACTGCTGTTCTAACTTCAAACTTCAAACTTCAAACTCTATTCTACTTTAGTCAAGACAAAGTTCAAACTCTACTTTACGAAGATACGCAGGGGTGGAAATGCACATCCACAAATGCAAAGCGAAAAGAGCATTCATTTGGTATGCTGTTGATCTGTCATCGGTTGTGTTGAGACGGTTGATCTCTTTTACTTCATCTCGCAAGGAAGAATACATTTGATAGGCAGAAATATATAAATAGGAATCAGGGCATAATCACACTAGGACTTTTTCTACTAAGCACTGGATGTAATTGCAGTCAGATTCATCCAGGTGTGGCCATAATTGTTGGTCAGATGCATTTATAAAAAGCTAGTGTGAGTAGACCCTCAGTTTGTAGCAACTTTGTGCCAAGTTTGTTATTAGAACTTAGTTTATACTTTATAGTAACTTTGTGCTAAGTTTGTTATTAGAACTCCAAACGACCACGCTGCCTCTCCAGTGACCATCATGAAATGCAGCTGAGTGTGCTGCAAGGCGAGCGCAGATGATCAGGGAAATATCCTTTTTTTTTTTGGAAAACCAGCCGGAGTCTTCTAGCGGGGTTGGTATGAGCAGGGAAATATCAGAATTGCCCATTGACGTGAAGGAAAAGTCTCAATTGTGGACAACCTCCACAAGTCATATTTCCAAAACTTCCAAAGGCACAAACCTTCATCTTCTCCTATTCTCTGTCCTTCCCACCTTGCTTTAGCACCAAGAGGTTGTTGGGTTACCATAGAGTAAGGACCAGTAAAACGGGCATGTATATTATCATCTGCTTTATGAATAAGCTTTAATATATGTGCTTTTCTAACTGTGATTGCATCCTCAAATTCAGGAGTGGCTGAAGATTGTATACCAAGCTAAGACTGTGCTGCGGCAACTTAACAAGCATATTGTCAGTAGGTGGAAAACTCTAGTAAGGGAGAGAGGAATCGAGCAGCGAAGTAATGACCGCAGTTAATAGGTTACAACTGCAGTTAGTAGGTGATGCAGTGCAGTTCATAGGGAAGTTAACAGGGAATGACTGCACTTAAAAAGTTAATGACTGCAGTTTTAAGTGCAGTCAGTGGGGAGTGACTGCAGTTAAAACTCAAAAGGCAATGAATGGGGGGAGTTAGCCTGGTTGACATTGCATTATGGTACCAAGGTAAGTTTGTGTTGGGGGGGTAAGGTGGGGGGTTAGGGGGGAGGGGGGAGGGGGGGAAGTCTTAGTGCTGCTAGGATGGGGCTGTACAATATGCCTAGCTAACTTGTGAATAATTGCGAACCTGTTTCATCTGTCAATGATTGCAATTCTGTTAACTTCGTTTTAGTTTTCACATGTGGAAGTGTGCGAGATTGGCTTGTTTGTAGGTTTTGCAACTTTGCGCTCTTTTCTCCAGTTGGAAGGGCCAATTTGGCCATTTCCATGAACATCAGGACACTATGGTAGTTTGCAGATCCAAGAAACATTAAAATGAGTAACCTTTAACTTTTTGTCAGTTGTTGAGGAGTTGTTGCGGACTGGTGAATGTGCGAACTGGTGAATGCCTATTGTTATCCAGTAGTGGGCTTTCCGAGTGAGTATATATACCCAATGGTTTTGGGTATCGCCCCCTCAGAGAAAAAGGGGGGGATTGCCATTTCGGTTGTTTGTTATGCCATGCCATTGAGGCCCAGCACTCGATGTCTCACAGGCAGTACATGGCCCATGGATGGCAGCAGGTCTGCTTTGCATTTTGCAGTTGGATTGTGTCCTTCCCACAGGGACTCATCCTGGTCCCAAATGGGAAAGGTCCCCTTAGAGGTTGAAGGGGTAGGCCTGCCTATATAACTCAGGTAATTCCTTGACTTGACTGTGTTGGAATAGGTCAGTGGGTTGCTTTGTGTGGTCCCCTATGGGGCAGTTCATTATAGCTGAGTGAAGCAGCAATAAGGTCTGGAGAGCAGTGTTGGACCTTTCTGGCATGATCTTCAAGCTTTGGCTATGGTGGAAGCCCACCTGTGGCATGATCTTCAAGGTTTGGCTATGGTGGAAGCCCACCTGTGGCATGATCTTCAAGGTTTGGCTGCGGCGGAAGGCCACCTGTGGCATGATCTTCGAGCTGTGGATATGGCGAAGCCCACATGTGGCATGATCTTCAAGCTTTGGCTATGGTGGAATCCCACCGTTGGCATGATCTTCAAGCTTTGGCTACGACAGAAGCCCACCTGTGGCCTGATCTTCAAGCTGTGCATATGGCGCAAGCCCACATGTGCCATGATTTTCAAGCTTCTGATACGGCAGAAGGGCACCTGCCACATGATCTTCAAGCCTTGGCTACCGCGGAAGCCCACCTGTAGCATGATCTTCAAGCTCTGGATATGGTGAAGCCCATGTGTGGCATGATCTTCAAGCTTTGGCTATGGCGGAAGCCCACCTGTGGCATGATCTTCAAGTTGTGGACATGGCTGAAGCCCACCTGTGGAGTGATTTTCAAGCTGTGGCTATGACGGAAGCCCACGTGTGGCGTGAAGGTCAAGCTGTGGCTATGGCGGAAGCCCACCTGTGGCATGATTCAAGCTGTGAATGTAGTGCTAAGACTTTGTTGTTGAAGTCTTTTGTGACTCCCCCCTCTTGGTTGTGCTCGCAGTGCATGAAAAACTTTTACCTCTCCATGGCAGCTGAAGGTGTTGGGGAGACTGTGTTAAACCTTAAAACACTATGTTGAATTCTCTTCTGCTTTCCTTTTTCTCCTCTTGCTTGTGTCGCTGCTCCATGAATGCAAGCTTGTATCTCGTCATGGTGATTGAAGGGGAAGGGGGTAGGAGATGTTGGGAAGAACATGGTCTTCAACAGCCAGTACATCGCCCAGGCAACCTTGAGAATCGAAATCGAGCCAATCCGAAAATTCTGGAGGCTCAGGGTTGCCCGACACCAAAATGGCTGGTGGCGGCCAAAAGAAAGGCAAAAGCACCGCACTGGCGTTTCGGCAAAGCTTGGCGCGCAGCGGCGCAGGGGGAATCCGCCTTGGTAAATGAGGCTCGGATGTACTGGTGGTGGTTTAAGATGTTGTTGAAGTCTCTTCTGCATTCCGTCTCCCTCTCGGTTCTGCTGCTCTTGCATGCATGTGAGGTCCTTCTCCATGGTTGAAGCATCCCCCCCCACCCCACCTTCTGTCCAATGCAGACAATGGGACTGCTTGTGTGTACTTGGGCAATGTTTCTGACCAGATTCAGGCAAAGTATCCCTTATGGCCCATTTGGCCTGCCTTGTCACAATTCACATCAGACCACATGCCCAACGAACACTCTGTCGAATACATGCTATCAAGGGATCATTGCGACTGAATTACAGACAAGTTCAGTCAAAGAGGTACTCGCGTGAGTATGACGGATACTATGACCTAAATGACACAATGGTTTTTTAACCCCCAGCAATTGAAGCTTGCCAGCCTTACCTTTTGATGTACATCATGCTCTCTCTCTCTCTCTCTCTCTCTCTCTCTCTCTCTCTCTCTCTCTCTCTCTCTCTCTCTGTGTGTGTGTGTGTGTGTGTGTGTGTGTGGAGATACTGTGACATATTTAACTAGATTCAACACCAGACATTCGCACAGTGAATATGGGTCAATGAGACCTCAATCTTGAAGTATATGGTACAGTAAAGAAGGATAAATGAATTTAAGCTCCGTCCCTGCCATCATCTGAATGAATCCAAGCTCAGTCTCCATAAAACATCAAGGAAAATCTTGTCGCACATCACAATTACTTGCTATACGTGGGCCAATGAATCAATCAAAGACTTGAGAATTTGAGACGTCCAATGTGCACAGCTCTGGGTTGCAATCTGAATGTCACAGTGAGTACCAATAGGAGGGTTTGATCCCTCGGCATAACTGCATAAGGCCCTGCATCAGGCGCGTGCCCGCCCTAAGTGAGGGCGGGCCCCTGAACTCGTCAATTTTTGCAAATCTTGGTCGGTGCCAGACAGTTGCCACGCGCCAGTTCGTTACATCCGCCTTGCCCGTGAGAATCCACAATATGCGTGAGCCCTCCAGGCTTTCCCAGCAAAAAGGTCGAAGCAGGGAGCATCGCGCGGTTGCGCCTGGGTGGTTGGGCATGCCTAACCGATTCGGTCTCAGGCCAATGTCTGAAAGTGCCTGGGCGCAAAGCTACTGGAAACTCGGTCTCATGTGGGGAAAGGCAAACAATGCGCCCGCCACTTTCCATATAGGAAAGGGCAGGGCGTCGGGCCGGGCAATCGGACACTTGCAAGTTGCGGGCGGCAGCGCTGCTGGAGCGATTGCTCGCGGGCTGCTTGCTGCGCTAGCTCAGGTGCTGCGAGCACGTGCGGACGTGCAGGATGTAGGGCGCTGCTGAGGGCAGCGCCATAGCCAGCCCCACGTAGCCGGGGCTCGGCTTGGACATAGCCAGTGGAGGTGGTGGCAGTCTTCGTGTATGAGGGAGAAGACGTGGGTGAAGAAGTCAAGGGTGAGAGAGAGAGAGAGAGAGAGAGAGAGAGAGAGAGAGAGAGAGAGAGAGAGAGAGAGAGAGAAATGGGATTGGTGATGTGAGGGCACGTACCTGGTCTTGGCGATGGTCTACAAGGGTCGACATCTTCATGTACTTCGGTTCTGCTGCTGATGTCAACCGGATGCATTGTCAATTCGTCGGCTGCTAGTAAGCTGTGTGATCGTGGTCTAGGCGCAAAGCACCAAGTAGGGGGAAGGACTTTGGATACATCATGTTGGTCGTGGTGAGAGTATGCTCTCATTGACATTCGGATTCAGTGCTTTGTTTCTCCGTTGGTGGAATATCAGTGCATCGCTACTTTTTGGACAGTGTTTGGACTTGCTGGCTTTCAATGTGATTTTGCACTCAAGGATTTCTGTCATTTTGTTATTGCTCACTTTCCTTGCAATTTGGTATCGGAGCTGGTTCGAGCCGCTCCGCTGGCTCCTTCGGAATAGTTGTTTGGTGGTTCGCTGGATATGGTGGGGCAGTGATAACGCTTATGCGTGGGGTGAAAGGCGGCCAAGGGTCGTGTGGGCGCGCCAGGAAGGCTATGTGGTGACATAGGGGTGCACGCTGAAGACCGACACACTAGGGACACATGAGGAGACGAAAAATGGGGCCGCCAAGGAATGGGAAATGCCAAGAAAAACCGGGACACAGTGGGGAAAGATGCCGGGAACCACATGGGACAAAGTAAAAATAATGACATTTCGGGACTAGTGACGGTAGGACCAAACGACGGGACAAGTGTCGGCTGGACCACCGGCGGAACAAGTGTCGGGGACTAGTGAAGGACAAGTGTCGAGGACCTGAGTTGTCACAAGGAAGAGGTGTAGAGTGCCATGAGAAAAAAATATTCGAAGCAAGACGCGATGTCAAAATCAAGATATAAATGACCAAACGGGAGAGTGAGAAAGGAAACAAAGGAAGCAAACAAAATTGGAGGAAGGGGCATTATTGCAAACCGAGATATCTCGGATCAGCCACCATGAAGACAATGGAGCCTTAAGAGGCTCCATGTGAAAAATAAGCCTCCTGGAGAAAATCGGAGTAGGAAGGGCGGCGGTTTGGACCAAACGGCGGCAAAATGGGGCTCCCATGGGTGTGGGAGCACCATGACTGCAGTCCGAGAATTAACGGACTGCACCTTGGGCATGGGCTGGGCCAAAACCAAGAGGTAGGGCCTAGAAAAAACCTCAATAGCTAGTTGACACTTGCCATGCTAGAAAAAGAAAGGAAAAAAAAAAAGAAAAAGAAGAGAAAAAGTAGGAAGAATTATACAAAAAAGGGTGAGAGGGGGTGAGTGAGTTGGCCATCAATAGGGACTGGCACAGATAGGGATTGGCAAATCCCTACTGTTCAGTTTTGGAGGCAAAAAGAAAGCAAAAAGAAAAGGAAAAAAAAGGGTTACTAATGGTAAAAAACGGTAACTAGGGAGATGCATTTTGTGACCGGATTCATCCTGGGTGAATCGGTTACAAAATGTTTTGATTTTTTTAATATTTTACTGAGAAAAGCAAAAAAAATCAAGGTATTTTGCAACCAAGATATAACGGATTACAAGAGGGAGGGAAAACACATGTTTTCAGCACATCCGAAGTCAATATTGAGTCCGGATGCACTTGGAAATTGGTCGCTTCATTTTGTTTCAGTTTAAGGCAAGTTGTAGGGCAGAAAGGCTAGGAAAATGACCTCTACTGCAGTCCGAGAAATAACGGATTGCAGTGGGGTGCCAAGGCCAAGGGAAAATGAGCCTTGGCACACTCAAGACATTAGAAAGGAGTGTCTCAAGCTTGGAGCAAGTGGAAACGGTAAATAACAACTCCGAGATGAGGATCTCGCGGCCGGGAATAATCAAGACACTTGAGACACATGAAAAGGAGAGATTGAGACTGGCGAGCACTAGGGAGTCCCAAATAAAAATGAGACGTCAACGGGGACGCTATCGGGGACTAAATGGTCCCAAATAAAAATAACTGAAAATCGGGACATGTGCCGACGGGGCTACCGGCGGGACTAGAAAATGAAACTAGTGCGGAATGAGTAACGGGGACTTGAGTGTCCCAAGAGAAATTGCAAGCTCACATGGAGGATGAGCACGCAAGGCAAGCGACAAGATCTTGATGGTAGGAAATACTATCAACCACAAGTGCAATCATTGAGTAGGGCCAAGAAATGGGAGAACATGGAGGCAAAAAGACTAGAGAAATGAAGTGGGGGGCCTACCCTGCAGTCCGAGATATCTCGGACCAATAAGACTTGAGAAAATAGAGCCCCAAGGGGTTCTATGCAGAAAATAGGTTGTCAAGAAAAAATCGGAGCAAAGGGGTCTCAAAATTGAGTAATGAAGGCAAAATGGAGCCCCCGTAGGTGTGTGGGCTTCATTGTTGTAATCCGCGATACAACGGTCAGCAGCTGGGCCTAGATCTGGCTCTAGATCGAGATTCATGGCTTAGAAAAAGAGTCAACAACTTCTTGAAACTTCTCACAGCAGAAATAAAGAAAAAGAGAGAAAAAGGGGAAAAAAAGGAAAAGAATGGAGGAGAATGTGTCGGTCAGTTGGGACTTATCACTCCGGATTTAGTGGAAGGCAATCCAAAGTGCAGAGATAATGCCCCATATTTGAATTAAAGAGGCGAAAATGAGAGAAAAAACAAAAAGGAGTTTGCTGTTTTTTTTTCGAACCATAGATTTGAGATTCAGATTCATGGAGGAGGGAATATGATCATCATTTGTGGAACCAACTCAAACGGCCAACTCCGGAATAAGTTGGCAGCCCAAAATGGAAAAAAACAACAGAGGGAAAAAAACAAAACAACGCATTTGGCCGAAAATGAAGGCCGGATGCACAAAATTAAAAAAATGAGCCTTCGGGCTCAAGTTTGAAGCAATGGCCGCTTGGGGGTAAGCTTGGATTATTTTTAGCCTTGGATCCAGATCGAAGGCTGAGATGGCATCGAGGTACCCAAGTGCTCCCGGAGAGACTTAGTGGTGAGAAAAGGCCTTGGGGGTACCTTGGTTTACTTTGGGGCACATGGAGAGGTCCATGGGCTGGCCGAAGTGTTGTGCCCAACCTACATACATAAGTTGGGGAAGCAGCTCGCCACACTCACATTTGCATAAGGCAAGTACATGTTGCTTGCGTGAGCCCAAGGGAGCTCTACACTCAAGCAGAGTGAGAGGAGGGGAACCGTTGCCAATTTGGAAGCTTGGAGGAGGTTGTGGGCTAATGAGAGAGGCTGAGGCTGTGTCAGCCTAGGGAAGTGATCCGCCATAGCCTCCAGGCTGTGAGAGAGAGAGAGAGAGAGAGAGAGAGACAAAGGCTACTGGGGGTCCACTTAGCCCTCCTAGAGGGGAGGACTCCATAGTCTTAGTGGTAGGAGCTTGCCAGAGAGGCTGGGGAATAAAGGAAATGAGGGCTTGAAGAAGAAGGAAGTCATTGCTAGGCTGCAAGTGTGCAAAGAAAGAGGAGACTTCACCAAGATTGACATCTCCATCTCAAGAGACTAGAGGAGGTGAGTGAAAGCTTCTTCTTCTTCTTCTTTTTCTCCTCTTCCTCCTCCTCCTTTTCCTTCCTCTCTTCTTCTTCTTCTTCTTTTTCTTCTTCCTCTTCTTTCTCTACTTCTTCCTCTTTATAACCTTCTCCTTCCCCTCCATCTTCTTCTTCTTCTTTCTCCTCCTCCTCCTCTCCTAATTAGTCATCAACTTTCCCCATCTCCTCTCTCCCCTTTCTTCTCCTTTTCTCCTCTCTTCATAACTAACATACTAAGAATGGGGCAAGTAGGAAGTAGCTTCTCTACTAAAGATAACCAACATGTTATTCATTAAAATATGACATTATATTGTGTCCTCTTTCAGACGAATTCATTTTTAGTTGCCGCCTAAGAAATGTAGGCACGCCTATCCACTCGCCCTTAATGCGGAAGTGTGCTGAGATCCATACTTGTCAAACTTTATAAATAAGATGAGCAATGTACTTGGATTGAATTGGACAATTTAATTTTTTAGGTTATCCCAAAGTTGTACAGGCAGGTCCATCCCCTCGCCTGAGACGATCGTTTGGATGTTTGATGAGATCCGGACTTGTTAAGAAGACTTAGTGGAATGACAGACTTGTCCATCTGGGAACCCTGACAGTGTGTGGAAGTGTGTTGAGATCCATACTTGTTAAATTTAAAGTTTATAAATGTGATGAGCAAGGTGTCCTGATTGAATCTTTGTTGGATAATACATTTCTTTACTAGGTCATCCCTAAGTTGTGCAATGATACCGATCGCCCGAGACGGTTGTTTGAACGTTGAAGAGATCCGGACTTCTTTAGAATACTTAGTGTAATGACAGGTACGCTCATCATCTCGCCCGACATGAGGAAGTGTGCTGAGATCCATACATGTTTACAATTGTGATGAGCAAGGTGTATTGTAACAACCAGTTAATGTTGACATACAGGTTCGTTTTGTGCAACAACACATCCTACCCCTTAAGCAGCATTGGCAGCGGGGGGAGGTGGATGGTCCGCTCCGCACCGGACTTGGGGGTGAAGTTTTGCTGCGGGCCGGCGGATGGAGGCGATCGAGGGCGGGGGGGCAGGCAGAGTGGCGCGCGTACCAAAATGTTCACAGCGCGCCAGAAAATGAGAGAGCGCGCCCAAGGGACGGAGCGGCGGCGGGCGTCGATGCGAGGGAATATCTCGAAGTGCCCGCCGTCGATAAGCGCGCGTCCTTTTTTTTTTTGAATTCATTTCCAGTTCCTTTTGTTTTCTTTTCCCTTTTTTCGTCGTCGGTTGGTTCCTTTTTTTTCTTCTTTCTTTTTTCGTTGTAATCTTCTATCGTGTTCCGTCGCATTCCTCTGATTTCCCTTTTCCCGTCGTACTCTTCTGTCGTCTGGCCTCCCTTTTTTTATTTTTCCCTTTTTCCGTATTCCTCTGTCGTGTTGCCCCTTCTTTTCAGTTGTCGTGTCGCCCCTCCTTTTCAGTTGGCGACGACAAAAGCAAGGAGGCCCGGCCGGCGGCAGCCACACACCCACACACGCACACACATGCACCCACCC